TAGCATCCATATTTATGTATTGATCGTAGTCGAGCGGCAAAGCCGCGTTTCCAGGTGACACCATTTCTTCTTCCCTTTTCAATCTAATTAATAAATCAACCAATTGATTGATTGTTTTTTCCTGGGAAACAAACAAACAGGAGGAGGGGAAGGAAGGGTTATGGTTATGGGTGTTTCCTTAGGTTTTGTTTATAGGGGAGTCTTGGGGAGAAGCAGGAGATGATTATATGATTGGTGGGAGGTGGCGTGCTGCTGCTGCTGCTGGTGGTGCTGAAGATTCTTTCGTTTTTTTTTTTTTTATGTTTTGCCAGCATATTCTCATGCCCTTTCCGGACAAGGAGACCTTGAAACGGATTTCATTACCAGCGAGGATTCACTTCACGGAGAGAACTGGCCCATTGCCGCTGGACCCAACCCCTAGTTATTGCAATGAATTGGATCAGAGTCTTGGATTTTCTTATTTTCCGACAATAAAAGGATTAAAATTCAAGATTTAATTTTTTATTTTTTGATAAATTACCTTATTAAATGTTTAATAGGGCTACGTATTAGTTTATTAAACACTCTTTTCAAAGATCACATCGTCGTTGAAAAAGAGTCTTCAATCTTGATCACCTCTAAATGGGCGTTCCAATTATATTTCCTTTTTTTTAAAAAAAAAAAGGAAAATGATTTGATTGGATTGAAATTAATAAAATATATGAAAATCAAACCCAGCAGGCAAAATTTGAAGATCATGATCACACAGTCCAATAGCTTGATAAGATTAATTTTCTTCATAATCTTTTTTTTTATTATTATTATTATTATTATTGGTGGTCTAAGAGCTGGGTTAGGAAAAAAATTGAACATTTTTTTAAGATAAAATTTAATTGAGTCTTGAAATTAACGATTATGTAAGTCTCCAATGACCATCATATGATCAATCAAGGACTCGAATCTGAGATCACAAAAAAAACAAACCTCTTAATCTGAAGCTCTCATCATTTACCACCATCTAGATGATTGTTTTTATTATTATTATTATTATTATTGATGGTGGTCTAAGACCCGAGTTAGGAAAAAAAAAATTAAACATTTTTTTAAGATAAAATTTAATTGAAAAAATTCATTGAATTTCTAGTTTTCAATTAATTATTTTTATTATTTTTAAAAAATTAATCTAACTAAAATACATATTTATATTTATAAATAGAATACAAATATTTTCAAACCTAATTTAAAATTTATTTAAATCTAACGAAATATATATATTTATATTTATAAAGTATTTATATTTTTCTAACACTATATACATATAAATACATACTAGAAAAATATTTACATGTAATTTTTTTATTTTTTTCTATCTAAGTATTTTTTTTATTTCCTCTTTTTTTTTTCTTTTTTCCTAAATGAGATGCTCTGCAAGTCCATATTTGGATGCCAGTAACGTCTCTGGCAATTTTCATAGGTGGAGATAAGGAAATAGATATTTATATTTATAAAGTATTTATATTTTTCTAATTAGAAAAATATTTTACATGTAAATTTTTTATTTTTTTTATCTAAGTATTTTTTTTTTATTTGCTTTTTCTTTTCTTTTTTGTCTTGTCTTAGACAGCTACCTAAATGAGATGCTCTGCGAGTCCAAATTTGGATGCCAGTAATGTCTCTGGCAATTTTCATAGGTGGAGATAGGAAGGAGATGCAACAAGGCTGAGTTGTAGGAATGCGATTGGCGAGTAAGGATTTTGATACACAGGTGATGTGATGGTGTGGGCATGGCATGGCATGGCATGGCATGGTGAGGAGAGAGAAGTGGCCTTTGGCCTTTGGCCTTTCCACCTACCCCTTAAATGCTTCAAAACAATACAAAGGCAAGCGGGCCCCCCAGATTCCTTTGGTTCACACTAGCACGCGTTTTTGCAGCAGGTTCGGCACTCTTGTTCTTGGGACGTCAGCTAAATTATTTATATTCTCATTTTTTTATATATTATTATTAAACACTCAATATAATAATTTCAATTTAATATATATATATCTCTTCTTATTAATATTTAGTTAGTTTATGGATGTGATTTAGGTTATGAATTTTATGGAGTTGAATTAAATTTTATTTTATTATATAATATAAAATTTAAAAATTTATTTGTTATTAATTTAATATTAAAGTATAGAATTCAATAAAAATCTTATACTAAATAATAAAATAAAAAAATAAAAAATTCCAAGTTTAACTCTTTGTTTAATATTTTAATCTATTCACCAAACTCAAGATTTAATTATAGGTTTTATTGCATCATTTAATTTTTTATTTTATGATAAAAATATTAAAATTAATTTATTATCAATTTAATATTAAATAATAAAATTTAATAAAAATCTCATATTAAATAATGGAATTTGAAGAAAAAATAAAAGATATTTTTTCTAAAAGAAGTATAAAAATATCATCCAACTCTTTAATTAATATTTAGTTAACGGATCAAACCTTTTACATGATCTAGAAACTCCTAATTTTCTTTTTTTAATATATAAAAATTACCAAAAATAATTTAATATAAACTAAATGCAAATTGATAAAAGTTGATAAAAATCACATGCTAAACAATCTAAATGAAAAGAAAAAAATTGGGCAAAAATAAAAAGTTGAGTTTGGCTAGACTTATCCCATAAAACCTAGCGTGTGAGATTGTGCACCTAATTATATATTTTTATATAAAAGATAAATAAGTTTTTTGTTCTCTTATTTTTAAAAAAACATTTTAAAAAATAATACACTCTAACTAAATCAAACTCATGAACTTTATGGCACCTATATATATGTTAACCAACTAAACCATATATTTCTCGGTCAAAAAACCAAGTTGATATATGACCTAGACAAAGTCTGGTCAGAATTTATAAATTTTTTTCTAATTTTTCTAATAAAAACAACATTTTTACTTCTCTTTTGTTTTTTTGTTTTAACCCATCCAAGCCGTTATCAAAACCTTGATCTTAATTCCATCTTTAAAAGGAGAAGACATTCTCATTTTTTTTATATATATTATTAAACACACAATATAATAATTCCAATTTAATATAATATATATATATATATATATATATCTTCTTATTAATATTTAGTTAGTTTATGGATGTGATTTAGGTTATGGATTTTACAAAGTTGAATTAATTTTTTATTTTATTATATAATATAAAATTTAAAAATTTATTTATTATTAATTTAATATTAAAGTATAGATTTCAATAAAAATCTCATACTAAAAAATAAAATAAAAAATTCTAAGTTTGACCTTTTGTTTAATATTTTAATCTATTCATCCAACTCACGACTCAATTATAAGCTTTATTGGGTCATGTAATTTTTTTATTTTATGATAAAATATTAAAATTAATTTATTATCAATTTAATATTAAATAATAAAATTTAATAAAAATCTCATATTAAATAATGGAATTTGAAGAAAAAATAAAAGATATTTTTTATAAAAAAATATAAAAATTTCATTCAATTCTTTAATTAATATTTAATTAACACATCAAACCTCTTACATGATTTATAAACTCCTAATTTTCTTCTTTTAATATATAAAAATTACCAAAAATAATTTAATATAAACTAAATGAAAAATAATAAAAGTTGATAAAAATCACATCCTAAACAATCTAAATGAAAAGAAAAACAAAATGGATAAAAATAAAAAGTTGAGTTCGGCTAGACTTATCCTATAAAACCTAATGTGTGAGGTTGTACATCTAATTATATTTTTTTATATAAAAAAATAATACACTCTAGCTAAATCAAACTCGTGATCTTCATGGCACCTATACATATATTAACTAACTAAGTCATATATTTCTCAATTAAAAAACCAAGTTGATAAATGACCTAGACAAAATCTGGTCAGAATTTATAAATTTTCTTTTAATTTTTCTCATAAAAACAACATTTTAACTTCTTTGATTTTTTTTTAGTTTTAACCCATCCAAGCCGTTATCCAAACCTTGATCCAAATAAACTTGGATCTTAATTCCATCTTTAAAAGGAGAAGAAATCACCATTTTTTATTATTCCTCCCTAGCAAGGTCACGAGCTGGACAGGCATATAAATGTGGTCTTGCTGGTGGGCATATACTTCTCATTTTATATTATTTGTTTACTATATGTTTGATGCGTTCATGCAATGTGTTCTAGCAAGTGTCTTCATTATCACACTCAACCATGCTAGCCATTGATAGGAGAATGTTCGCATCCCCTAGCTTTTTCCCAAAAGGAGAGAAACAAGTGGTGAGAAAAGAAATGGCAATCTTCTTAATCATTGAATAGGGTTTCTAAGCCCTGAAAACTACAATCAAATTACAAGCAAGTCAAGCCCACAGATCACAGAGGAAATCTTCAAGAAAAACACTGCAAAACCCTTCACCTACAGCAAGTTCTTGTACAGCCTTGAGGATGCCATGTCTGGCACGTTGTCCACTTCCTAGATTGCTTTGTATCCATGAACAGTGTGAACAAAACCACCAATCCTTCTCCTTATCTCATCTGGATTTGCACCCACCAGCTTATCGACTCTAGCCCCTCCCATCATCAATAAAAATGTTGGCATGGCCTTCACCTCCATCCTCGTAGCTACCTCCTGGTTATTTCATACGGGCACAACATCTTTATATATCAGAAAGCACTTGACACGTATTGATATTGAACATGTTTAACCTGAATTGACATGGATCCCAATCATTTTGAGCTGGATTTCAAGAAGATCAGGTGAAAACTGACCTGGAAAATCCACTCAAAACAGAGTTTGATTTTAATATTATTTAAACAAAAAAAATTACACAAGATTGTTTTGAATTTAACTCGGATAAATCCAGGTTGAATCATGAACCGGGATATTGGACCAAATCAAGGGCTAACATGATTAAGCAATGATTAGATTGCTTCTTTGGATGCTCTGTATAGAGTTTTATAGAATTTCATTTTATAATTGTCCTTTTTATATTGGGTTCATAGATAAGGTTTTGCGAGCTTTGTGATTGGTGGGGTGCCAAAATAAGAATAAAAATACAAGTCATGTGACGTTAGATCAGATTTTTGACTTATTTCATTTAAAAATTTAGGGTTTCTTTTTTTATTATCCATCATACGGATTTGATTTGTCTTCACTCAGTACAGTGCAATTATTTGATGTAATGAGTGCGAACCTGGATTTAACAAATTCCAAGTTTTAATACCAAAAAAATATTCCATATTTTGACAAAAAATCTCGCAGGTCAAAACCCCTGTTGCAGGCTTGCACATGTTTTGCTTTCCAATTAACTTACAACTGGGCCAAAAGTTCATCAGCTTCAAGAATCAATTACCAGAGTTTCGAAGATAAAACGAGTCCATACACTTTAGTGAAACAGAGCAAGGAAGCCCAACCAACTGTGGGATGTCAGCATCAATTTCTATATGGTTGATGAGATTAATATGTGTGTGTGAGTCCATACACTTTAGTGAAACAGAGCAAGGAAGCCGTAGTAACTGTGGGATGTCAGCATCAATTTCTATATGGTTGATGAGATTAATATGTGTGTGTGTGTGTGTGTTAGTTAGTTTATGATTTTAAATGGTTATGCTGAACAAATTAATTTACCTTAACTTCATCAACATCCACTGAGAGAAACAGAATGTGTTTATAGCTCGAGGCTACTTCCTCAAAGAAAGGATTCATGGCTACTGAGGGCATGCACCAACAAGCTGTAAAGTGCACCACCACCTGCAGTGAGCCAAAAGGAAAGACTATTTCTTTTTAATTTTTATAAAATTCTAGCCTCTAAAATGATAACTTCTCTGTATAAAAGCTGGCAGAATTGATTAGAATTTCTTGAAACGTAGATTCTAAGTAGCTGGATCATCAATACAGTGGCACGCATGAAAAAAGAGAGAATTACTTACAGGGCATTCTTTATTGGTAGCTTGATTGATGAAGAAATCCCATGATTTCTCTGAGTCTATCCTGACAACTCTAGTCTTAATGACCTGTAAATGTCCAGCCATCTTTTCTTCCCTTTCTGCTCTGTTGCTCTTATGGTCTACTTTATAGAGGCTTCGATTAGCTATTGAGTTCGGCAAATTTAACTCGGGATGCTTTTTTTTTTTTCTATTTGGTTTAGAATCAATGCAATCTCCCTTTGAATAAGATGTGGCTGAATCGATAATATTGGACCCACTTTAGATTTTAGTTATTCTAACATATGTGGAAAGTAGTTCTGCTTTATCCAGTTAATCATGCTTCTTGAAGTGTGATGGCTGGTTATTCTAACATATGTGGAAAGTAGTTCTTGTTTATCCAGTTAATCATGCATCTTTGAAATTTGTCTAATGATCTTCTTAATTTCTAAATCTCCATCCTGTAATTATTTGTCTCTCTTGAAGTGTGAACCTTGATGAATCATGAACAATATTTTACCGAAGCAAAAGAAATTCAGTGTCATCAAAATTAAGATGGTCTTACCTGGCTTACAATACGTTGATTGCTGCAATGGTGAACTCTTTGTTGACTTTAAGGATTGCAGGATATAGGAACTCAAAGTCAGTTTAAGTACTTTACTTTTGTTTTCTCATTTCTAGTTGAGTTTGTGGGATCCAGGTCCTCCCTTAATTAGTCATCTTGATTGATCATAGCATTTGTTGACTCAAGCTCAAATTCCTAATCTTTCTCGATCCATTGCACAATCTTCCTCGTTTTACGGGATATAATTAACGTTGTAAGATGAACTAGTTAGCTTTATTCATTTCTTGATGATGGAGGGATAAGGCTTGACTACAATCAATCAAGAAATTATGGATGTATTCAAACAAGTTCTGTAGTGAGCTGACAAAGGTTGTTGGTTCTATGAATATTCTTCGCATTACGTGTCGATCTAGTAAGTTGATATAGAAATTCCGTCTTCCTCCCACTTCCATTAGCTTTTCTATTTTGATGGGGAACGTCTAGAGTTTAGCTTTGCTTTAGCACAAATGTCAACGAATTCTGCTTCTATAGCCCACCCATGTTTTCCCTCAACTTCTATATCCATTAAAGGGGCTTGGGATTATCCTTATCATCATCCTGATACTGAACTGACAGAACTTTAGACAATATCTGCTTTCCTGTCCCTCCTACGTAGGGCTTGTTTTTATATCAATGTATGCTTGCTTCTGTCTGCCACATGAGATTGTTGGAAATAGGTTTTATATGTCTACTTGACCTCTTTCTGCTAAAATATACAATGAACATTGCGAGGATAACTCTAGCAGTTAGTTGATATAATAATACCTCTGCATAGAGCATGCTTACTAGGCTTCCTCTTGACCTTGGACTTGAAGACTGAAGAGGCCATTCTAAGTGGGGTGGATTCTCCTGGCTCAAATCTTGGTTTATGGTTCTTGCAACTCATAAATGAAAGTTTTTATGCTTCTCAGGATAAGTAACACAGATTACCACAAAGCATCTGATAAAAGGGTGGATAGGAGTTGGGAGGTCTAATATGATCTATTTTAACAATTCAAGGTCTGAAATCTGCTATACTTTCAGAATATAGACTGTAGAGATGGTTGTGTCCAAAACACAAGGGCATAATTGAAAAGGCTATAACTAGTTTACCACATAGTGAACAATGTGCTGAAGATATAGTCTAAAATTTAAATCCCAGACTTATTTGGGGGGAAATGTCCAAACTGTCCTCTGTGAGGATATACTTCTGGTGGTCACAAGTAATCAATACTTCCTGGAATGGATAAAACACAAAACCTAACAAAGAATTCAATACAGTTGCTCAGAGCTGCCACTCTTCACTCTACAGAATGGCTCATTTAACAAACTTAAATGGAGTCACTGAGACCCTGCCAGCCATACCAAAACTTATCAACGTGCAGAAACCTCAAAGAAGGATGAAAATAACTGGATTGCTAGGCAAGCAGCCGGTTAATCTTCAAGAGAATTCGTTTCATGCTACAAGAAGACTAGCTTTAGGCCTTGCTTCAATAGCTCTCATTGGAAATCCCAGTACCGGTGTCTCTCGCGCGGAGGATAATTGGTGGGCTCGTGATATCCCCTTGCCCGTGCCTTCTGTGGAGAACAGTAAGCTTTCTTATAAGCATCACATCAGAATAAGTTTCTCATTCTCTTGTATCAAAAATGTAGCCCGAGTGTAGAATTCTGATATATTCCCTTGATATTGCAACCATTCATCATTGTTTATGTAGTGCAGAACTTGCAAATGAGGAGACAGGCACACGTTCTTTTCTGAAGAAGGGAATTTATATGGCTAATGTTGGATTACAAGGTAGCGCACGTAGGGTAAAGAGATATGCCTTTGATCTCTTAGCTCTGGAGGATTTGATAGGACCAGACACCCTGAATTATGTTAGGAAGTACTTGAGAATCAAGTCCACCTTCATGTACTATGATTTGGACAAGATTATCTCTGCAGTTCCTGTAGATGACAAGCAACCTCTTACTGATCTGGCTAACAGATTGTTCGACAACTTTGAAAAGGTGAATCAATGGTTACAAGCAGAGATTTTTCTGTAGTTTTAATTGCTGAAAGTTCCTATTATAAGAGGTTGAAGTACTTCACAAGCTTTCTTTGAACTAATTGTTCAGTTTCTGATTCATTGACAGCTTGAAGATGCATCAAGGAGGAAAAACCTGCCTGATACAAAATCAAGCTATCGAGACACAAAAGCACTTTTGCAAGAGGTCATGCAACAGAATCCAATTGATCTGAAGAGTAAATTTACCTATTACCCGGATGGACTTCAAAGCTAGTTGCGCCTTACGGGTGATGAAGACAATATATTCACATTACAATGTACTTTCTATTTATTCTTAATTTGCAATTTAGCCTTCCCACTTACATTTCAAAATTCCTCGTGTATTTTTAGGCAAATGGCAAAACTACAAGTTATTATGTAAGAAAAGGAAAGAAACTAGGAATTAAGCAAGTACATCAGTGTGAACAGGTAATTACAACAGAATTTCATTGGGAACTCATTCTCCAGTAAACAAAATAATAATTGGGCAAAGCCTTTTTAATAACAACAATGTAATGCACTATACAGGTTACTAACTATCAGTTCGTGTTAGGATCACTCTCACTTTCTCAATTTACCAATACTCGTGACAGAGATACATAATACTATCATCTTGTGTTAGAATCAGCCCAAACTCAAGCGAGAATCAAACGACCGCATGTTGGCATGACGTCGAGGAATACCTATCTCACAAGCATTAACCCTGGATGCAAATCGGAGTGAGCAAAGTGACTCACCCAATGAAGAGTGATCAGGAGAAATGTTTACGAACATCAGTGTCTTCGAGTCTCCACCCAGACATGGCTGAAAGAACATGGGATTAAAAGAAAAAAAATATCTTAGATCACCAAGATATACGAAAACACTGGGAAAGAATGATGTGGAGCGTTCATGTTAGCCAGGATTTAATTTGAAAAGACAAAAAATTAGGTTTTACTTCCAAGATAACCATTCAGGTAGTTTTCTTGGGATGTGTTTTCACCTACTATAGGTAGGCCAAACAAAAAACAAAAAAAAAATAGAACGAAAGCTCCAAGAACAGCTATTAATTTATCTATAAAAACCCTTTTTTGCTCCAATGATGGCATAGGAGATCTCAATAAGATATATGCAAAATACTTTATACAGAGTGGAGAAGAGATGAACCTTATATAATAGTGTAGTGTGAAAATCTTAAAAGAAGAATCATCCTCACAACAAGGAAGTCTCTTTAATAGTTGTGTACGAGATTTTGCTACTATACTCATATAAAGATGAAAGACTTGATTTATCAAAGATAATTCCATACAAGTAGCACATAAAGCTTAAAATTCTTCGAAGTCTTTTAAATTATTTACCTGCAATAGATAAGTAAGCTTTGAGTTTCTAAATGGTACATGATCCTCCTTCTTTGCCAAGGAAAATATAACATCACTTAAAGATGACAAGCTTTTATTGATAGCCTGATAAAGATTGCACAGAGAAATTAATTTGATTACTAATAGTGAATTAATTAAAAAAATCTATCAGGTCACGATAGTCAAGTCACATACTTGGGTTTCTCTCAATCTATCTCCAGTTGAGCCACTCTTAGAAAGACGCTCGCTCCCAGCAAGATCAATAAGATTCAAAACACCTTGTACTTGTTGTTCTGTGTTCTGATGGATGCAAACAGACATTCAATTTAAAGGGGATAAAAGAAAAGGAATAGCAGAAAAGAACTTGTGGAAAACAAAGGTATTGTTACCTCATTAACACCAGATATTCGCAATGTGAAAACAAAGTGACTTCTAGATGATTGCTCATTCATTTGGGTCTTGCCAACAGACCTACAAGAAGCAAAAATTTCAAGTTTTTATCATATAGCACTGTAATTCAGGGTAACAAGTTGAAGGGTCAGTTTAAGAGTGGTATAGGTTGCTTTTCAAAGTATTTTTTGCTTGGAAATGCATCAAAAAAATTATTTTTTAAAAATTAATTTTGATATTAGTACATCAAAACGATCTAAAAACAGTAAAAAAAAATTAATTTAAAGCTAAAAAAATTAAAAAATTTCAAAAGCACGGTTGAACCTGAATGCCAAACAGTAA